ATAAACATGATCGTCATGTAGACTCTTATGGTATAAGATACATAAGTGATTGGATCTAGTGCAAGTGGGAGTTTGTAAGTGTTATGCCCTAGGTCCAATCAACTTTGGACATAAACACTTTGAATATATATAATCAATGCATATATATGGCAATATCTATTATTTAATTGAATTAATATTCTAATAAATTAAATAATAGAATCCGTAGATTCAAGTATTTATAATTTGTTAATTACAAAGAGTTGTGATTGTGAAATACAAATTATATATGATTGAATCTTAAATCGTCTGTAGTCATATATAATAACGACATACGAATATCATCATTACGGATAGACCATCACATGTGGCATTTCTTACTCGTAGAATAAGTAGCCGATGTCACAAGATAAAGTGGGCGACACTTAAATGAACACGTGGATGTTTTGTTGTAGACCAAAACATTGGAGACCCGCTGGAGAGATTCCGCATGGATAACTATCTGAATGTCAGTGGTTAATATCTAACGTTCGGTAATGGAATTGGTCATTTGACTTGAAGTCATCATAGTGTCTTAGATGATGACAGACATACTTTAGTGATGTTGGATGTTGCTCTGTCAAAGGTCGTTAATATGGCATCGTTCGAGTATGTCAAGAATCATATGAAGTTTGTGAATTATCAATAGATGATTCATTACTATTAGATAGTAAGATATGATGATTTACATTTTCATTCAGTTAAGTTAATAATGAAATCTTTAGTCAAGGTGTACTCATAAGTCGAAAATGAGTTTTTGACTTACATTAACTTAATAGTTGGATAAATTAAGGATATGATCGATAATTGAAATTGACATATATCCATATGTCGTAAGTGATAGGATCATATTGACAAAAGAATTATAGTTTCATGGTAAACGAACAAGTTTGATTTTGTCATACCACGTGACATTTCTTGTCGCAAGTACTGCCCTAACACATTGCTAGATGTCAATTTGGGACGACGAATGTATTTTGGTGATAAATTAAATGGGGTATTTTAATTTATTGATTTCGGTTAGATCAAAATAATAATTTACGTCGTTAGATATCGTGATCGAGAACATAATGGGTCACACATAAAAGGAGAACCAGAAGAATGAGATTCATCAATTAATAAATCATTAGGATTTCGGAAAAATTGAACAAAACATAATTGATATTCTTTGCGAGTATTTGTTTGTTGGAGTGTTGGTGTAGGTGCTAGTGGTAGTGTTTGTTTCTTTAGTGGCTAAGGTGCAGCCCTTCTGTTGGTGGTGGTGGCGGCAACTGCGGCGGTAGTGGAGCTGATGGTTTTTGGTTTGTCTTCAATTCTATCTGATGAAATATTTAGAGAATTGGGTTGAGGGAGGGGTGATGTTGGGGGTGGTGAAAAAGGGATTGGAGAAAAAATGTATTTGGGAAGTAATTTAGGAAGAAAAGTGGAAGAAAGTGTGTCCATTGTTTTTCTTCTTGTTTAGCTTGCAAGCAAGAAAGAACAATTGAAAAGTGGAAGAAAGTGTGTCCATTGTTTTTCTTCTTGTGTAGCTTGCAAGCAAGAAAGAACAATTGATCATAAAGGAAAGGTGAAGAATCTAATAATGCACAAATTGAAGGTCCCATAGGAGGAGTACTTATGCAGAATAGCCGCATAGGGATATTGGTGAGAAAGGAGACAATTCGTACAAATTTTGTGATTCAAATTAATCACTTTTGTTTCCTTTTTTCCTTTTTTTTTTTTTTTCCTGGAATGAATATAATTGTATTTTATTTATTTATTTTTATGTTTTTGTGTATGGCATGAGAAATCTGCATCAGCATCTGTTTGACAAGTGTCTATAAATAGAATAAATGAATTTTAAAGAAGTGGGTAATATTTGTTGATCCTATAACACATTCGAATAAAAAATGATTTGCAGCAAGTGTTTATAAACCAAACATAGACATTTTTAATTTCTCTTTCTTCTTTTTAATACAAAAAATAGCTTCATAAATAAAGCACCTCCTTCAATTTCAATGTATTCATTTCACGTGACATAAAATTAGTCACTTCCCTTGTCTACTCACTACACCAAGCACATATTAGTAAAATCTTTCTTTGGAGACATCTTCATTAGGATGTCACCTCCAACTCAATTTTTCTATAATATTTTATAGCTATTGTGTTATCATGGACTATTAAATTTCTTCCCACAACAATATTTATCGATTTATCATCATAAAACAAGGTAGTGTTCGTCCTTTGCTTCTCCCTTGTCTTCAGTACAGAGTTATAAAACTGGCTCGGTCAGGACGGTCGGACCAGAAAATCGGCTGCCCGGACCCTTGATCGACCAGGCAAATTAATTTGATAGAAATATATTTGACTCGGTAAAAAATGTGCTTTGACCGAGTTAACCGACAATTTATTAGGCCCAATTGACCGGTTTGATTGAATTTTGAAATTCTCTTACAAAATTTTAGGAGGAAATTGAACCATAGACCTCTTAAAAAAATAATGGGTCATCATCACTTGAGCATAAAGTGCTTTATTGTTACTTGTGTGCAATAACTTATATCTATTTAATGAATAATTTATAATGCTTATAAAAATATTCTTTTAAAAAATTTTGGTCCAACATTTTACTTTATTTGATAGACCTAAATAATTAGTGAAAAATAAATTAAAAATTTTAATTTTGCACCTAAAAAAATTTATATTTTATATTTTTTGTAGGTTTTTATGTAAAGACACGTCGTTGAAACGCCGGTTGAACCACTAACCCATTGATCAGCTACATTGTCTGGATCTGTGTCCAAGTCGAGTCTGACAACTATGCTTCAGTAGATCTTATCATGCATACCATTGGAGAATGTAAGTGTTATGCTCTAGATCCAATCATTTTTTTATAAAAACACTTTTAATATACAATTGATGCATATGTATAGCAAAATTTATTATTTAATTGAATTAATGTTCTAATAAATTAAATAATAGAATCTCTAGATTCAAGTATTTGTAATTTGTTAATCACAGGGAGTTGTAATTGTGAAAAATACAAATTACATATGACTGAATCTTAAATCTTCTGTGGTCGTTATGTAATAACGACATACGGATATCGTTATTACGAATAGATCATCACGTGTGGCATTTCTTACTTGTGAAGTAAGTACTTGATGTCACAAATTAAAGTGTTGTGACACTTAAATGAACACGTAGATGTTTTGTTATAGAACAAAATATTGGAGACCTGCTGGAGAAATTCCATATGAATAACTATCTGAGTGTCGTGGTTAATCTGACTCTAACATTCGGTAGTGAAATTGGTCATTTGACTTGAGATCATCATAGTGCATCATATGAGGACAGACATACTTTTGTGATATTGAATGTTGCTTAGCCAAGGGTCGCTAATACGACATCGTTCAAGTATGTCAAGAATCATATGAAAGTTGTGAATGATCAATAGATGATTCGTTACTATTAGATAATAAGATACTATGATCTGCATTTCATTCAGTTAAGTTAATAATGAAATCATTAGTCAATGTGTACTCATAAGTCGAACATGAGTTTTCGACTTACATTGACTTAATAGTGGGATGAAGGATATGATCGATAATTGAGATTGACACACATACATATCTCGTAAGTGATAGGATCATATTGACGAAATGATTATAGTTTCATAATAAACGAATAAGTTTGATTTTATCATGCCACGTGACATTTCTCATCGCATGTACTGCCCTAACACATTGCTAGATGTCAATTTGAGATGACAGATGTACTTTGGTGATAAATTAAGGGAGGGTATTTTAATTTATCGATTTCGGTTAGATCGAAATAATAATTCACGTCGTTAGATATCGTGATCGAAAACTTGATAAGTCACACACAAAATGAGAACCAAAAGAATGAGATTCACCAATTCATTGATTAACAAGTGTTGTACAATTAATTAATTTGGTTACTTGTTAATATACTCGAATTAATTAATTCATTGGCATAATTTAATCAATTAGATTAATTAAATATTAAATCGGGTTAAATTTAAGAGACGGGTCAAGCCCACTTGAACTTATGTTAATAAGCAATTAGGGTTTCGAACAAATTAAATAGAACATATTTCATATTCTTTCTAGTACATGAAAAGATAAACAATAATTCTCTCATTCTTGTTCCCTGTGTGGATTTTCATTGAAGGCTAGACAGTTGTAGATTGCAGTTCGTGATTGTTCGTGTTCGAGAATCAGTAAAGTAGTTGCAGAATTTATCAAAGATATTATTTTAAACATGGTTTATATCTAAACACAAAACAGGTCCGTGATAAGAATTGAAAAATAATTTATTTTTCGCTAAACATGTTAAGTAAATTCCCAACAAAGAACAAGTCACACACTATGCTCAGGGGTGGGAATGAGGGATCAGATTTTGCTCAACCCAAACCCAACCCAACATGATCGATTTGATCATAATTTAACCCAACACAACCCGTGTAAAGGTTGAAATCCATCCCAACCCAATCAAGTATCGGTCAAGTCGGGTTGGGTTGGTTGATTTTGGACAACTTATCAATAAAGATTAAAGTAGGCCGGT